GCATACTTGATAGTCATCAGTTTGTTCTCCACAGGGAATTTCTCTACTAGGTGTATTTAGTAGTTACTAGTTTTTGGACACGTGCCTTGCACGCGTGCCTTATGCAATATTATATAAATTCATTAGAACGATTAAAATTCAATGAAAACATGTGTGTAATGAGTACTAAACTGCAACAATCTCAAATAAATGTAATGACAATGATATTTTTTTTATATAAAACTAAATTAAAGAACACTAATAGAGAGAAAATATATAAAAAATAAACATAGAAGAAAAAATAACATACGCACCCTTTTTAAAACTTTAATCATAACAATATATAAATGAAAAAAAGAATACAAAATCGGTACATAATTTTCCGAGTTTTTCTCAACATCTTCTCTCATATCCAACAAAAATTCAAAAGTCTTCTCCATCAAGTCAAACTAAAGCATGATTCAAATAGAAAAATTACTTCATTTTTATAAAGTGATATAGAATCGGACTAAGTTAGATATATCATATACTTTAAATGTTGATGGCTTCATTACTTTAACCTTAAAATGAAAATGATAATCTTGGGTGTGAGTTTCATGAAATAAGAAAGATGAATTTACATAGATAAAGATAGAGGAATACCAAAAGACATCTTCAAGTTTTAAATTAAACATTTGAAGGTTATGAATATGAAAAACATGAAAGTTATGAATATTAAGAATGACAATTGAATAGGTAATTAGATATAAGTTATGAAGGTGAATATTTATTTAAAACAAATAAAGAAGAAAAATAATTTAGAAAATATAGATAAGAAAAAGATAAGTGCAAATAGGAAAGTGCTAAATGGCCAGAAAATTTTGCTAGAAAATTTTAAAAAACTATAATTTTTTTAATTTAAAAATAAATTGATGTTTTTTCCATTTTTAGTTAAAAGGTATTTAAGTTAAAAGGGTAAAAATATTTAAAATGGTAAAATAACATAGATAAAATATCATTATGGCCAAATTCTGGCCAAATTTTCTAGCCAAAAAGATTTTTCCGTGCAAATAATATTTTTGTGAAACACCACTAACAATGGAATTTGAAAGGATCAAAATAGATAAAGAGAACGAACTTTAAGAATATTAAATATATGCAACTGAACCTCCATTAAAATTTGGAAGAGTAAACAATCCTCCTATGAGCACATGAACTCTGTATTTACTCTATGTAGTAAATGATTATCACTAATATTTAAATATGTAATTAAATAAATATTTATAATATTTTAATTTAGTTTGGGGTAAAAAATTTATAATATTTTAATTCAATGTGGGGTAAAATGATATTTCAACATTCAACTTTTTTTGTCTTGCGCGTGTAACCCAATTTTATTAACCACGAAATTTTAAAAAATTACATAAATATTAGTATTAAGAAACATGTTTGAGTTATGAATTATATACTAAAGAAGAAGTGCAAATTCTTAAATTGATATCTTAATCCTACTTTTCGAGTTCTCTAAAAGGAATAAATACTTCTCCAAAGAAAAATAAAATTGTTAAATTTCATATTGTATAAATTGTAGAAAAATAAAAAATGAAACAAAAAGGGTAAAAATAAACAATATATGTATGTGTTCGCAAAACTATGTTAGATAGACGATAAAGTAGGAAGAAAAAAGGTTACTGCGGCTCAATGATAATGCGGAAAGGAATACTCATAAATGAACTTCAAATTTATTAAGGTAACATTTTAGTGGAATGTGAAAAGTTTTCAGTTATGGAACTTAAATTTAGAGAAAAGAGTCTGAAAAATATTTAAATTTTGGCCGAAATTGTTGTTACGATACCAAACTTTATGGAGGACCTCTTACCCCCTCTACTATTTAATAGTGTATTTTAAAGGTACATATGTGCCCACGTGGACACGTTACTATTTATAATGATGAAATTTTTATGATGTCCACGTGGACACATTTATAACTTTAAAGTACACTACTAAATAGTGTAGGGAGTAAAAGGTCCTTTCCAAAGATCGGTATTGTTACAACAATTTCGATCAAAGTTCGGATATATTTCAGACCTTTTTCTCTTAGATTTACTATTTAATAATAATAATAATAATAATATTGTAGTAACTCAATAGGGTTATTTTGGTGTTTCAACTTTCAACTTTTTTTGTTCCTACTTTTAGTAATATATGATGATGATATGATATATGATTGGTGAAGCTTTGCTGGGCAGATATTTAGCTGTTGTGAGGAGGTTTTGAATGATTTTCAGGTTTTGTTTATTCATTTCTATTTGCATTGTTTCTCTTGGGTTGATACTTCTAGGGTCGTTTGGTTGGGAACAAGTTATCCTAAGATTAATTATCCCGAAATAAGTTATTCCATCATGTATATGGAATAACTTATCCCATCACTAAGGTATAAATGATGTGATTACCTAATACTTCCAATCAAATGCAGGATAAAATAATCTTACATTTTATCATGGAATTATTGTACCTTATACCTCACACAAAACTATTCATGAACTTCAATTGAAATTTTAGATTTAGCTGAATGTTTCTACCAAACAATTCTATAGAATGTAAGATTTAAGTGATGTGATAGTTGCAGTGTTCTGTTAGTAGTCTAATGTGTTTCCCTTTTTTGCTTTTTACATCAATACTTGCTTACTTAAACTTTATCAAAATGTATTTATATTTAGTTTTTATTTGCAGGTTGAATATGCATAAATCAACATTATTGATGACATGGTTCATGTAATGCAAATCTATTTGAAGAAGATTTTTTAGATTATTATTCGGATTAGAATGTAAAGACCTTGCGTATATTCTTTTATTGGTCTTGTAAGCATAAGAATTTATGTTTAGGAGTATTTAACATTTGAAGTTGTAAATATGTAGCAAATCAGTTACATGTATTGATCTCTGCAAGTATATACCAGTCTTAATTCATCTTTGATCAGTTATTTTTAAAAAATTATGTATTGTGTAGGTAGAAACTACTCGCAAGTTATTGCTAGTATATGATTTATGACAATAGAAATTGTTATTGCTTAAAGCTTGCATAAGAGATTCATCCAAATTTTATCAACAACTAATGTTGTAGGTGAAATATAATTTCTCGCAACAATATTTTTTGTTGCAAAAAATAATTATAAGCCATAACTATATGAATTTTCACCAACGATATATAATTAAAGGAAACAAGTATTTTTGTTGCTTTTAAGTTAGTTTTTCGCAACAAATTGTTTTGTTGTTGCATAAACTTTTCGCATCGGCGTTTATTGGAACAACAGGCAACAACTTTTTTTTGTTGCCAAAAGTAGTTTTGGCAACAACATTCAAAATATGAAAAAAAAAATTGTTGGGAAATGCCTTCTTTCTTGTAGATATATATAATTTGAAACAAGATATAGATACGTACTGAAGTATAATGAAAAGAACTGAACTGCATGCAATGACCAAGTGCTAATGATGACGATAACATGCTCAACTGATATAAATGCTGAAAACCTGGTCATATGCACTAAGAGTCTGACTGTGGGAGCTACTATTAATCGACATAAACCACGTCAGCTAAATGTGGAGTCCAGTGTATACGCCCCATCGAGAGAACCTAATATACCTTGCCAGGGGTATAAAGGCATGACTAACGTGATCACTAAATCTGTTGCCCAACAGAGGGGACTTATAATCCTAAAGGGGCACGTAGTTCTGGGACTATGAGGGTACGCTGAACCCTAGTCCAACTAGGTGCTAAGTCCACTCCCAACTGAATATGTATATGAATGAAATGTAACTGGAATACTGAATAGCTCAAAATACTGACATGCTTACTTAGAATGCAACGTTTATATACTGATAATGTGACATTTGAAATCTGAAGCATGATTATCTGTTTAACTAACCTATCAAGTGTAATTCATGAACTAAGAGAATCTACACAAACTAGGGTTTTGAGTACTATGCTTCGAATTATACTAAATTATCACGAAAACAGGTTATTTAGATCAAGGGAACTATAATCACAATAAATCTTGAAAATCCTAGGTCTGAACAGTTTATGAGAATTAGAAGAAGTAATTGAATTCTAGGGACCTAATGGGCGAAAGGAACCCACTAGTGAAATCCCACATACCTGGTGACGAAAGCTACAGAGAAATCCTTCGGATTTGGGCTGAACCTTGAAGAAAATCTCCTGCTTGTTCTTGAGAGGGCTGGTCGACTTGCCTCTTATTTTTGCTCTTATTCAGGTGCTTTTTGGAGAATAAAGGTTTTGGGTAGGTTCTGACTAGATTATTAGGTTAAAACTGAGTAAACCGACATAGTTTAGGGATAAAATAATTAGGAAAAGACCGAACTACCCCTGAATTAAGCACAGGCCCACGACCTATGAACCCTGGTCTGACCAACGGTCCGTCCTACTGGTCCGTCATCTGGCGCGTCAGAGAGTTGGAATTTGGGGCTCTGACCTACGGACCCCTAAACACGGACCGTGGTCTAACCGATGATCCGTAGGTTAGGCCGTGGTTCATGGCCTGTGAGGATCCTTGGGTGACCAGTCCACGGACCACACCTACGGTCCGTGGTCCTATCCACGGGCCGTGGCTGGCACTTGGAACTTCTAAAAACTGCTATTTTTTCCCTTTCTCAAATCCGGGGTGTTACATGGATCGTATAAAAATCTAAAGGGAAGAAGTCACATTTATGATTTTCCTCCCCTCCTAAGATGACGTAGACATGGACTATGAGAAAACATGGAATTGGCAACAACTTTCTAGCAACAATTATAAAGTTGTTGGCTAAATTTAATAAATGGCAACAACTTAATTTTTTTTGTTGGCATATATCAAAATTTTTAACAATAAGTTTTTTCTTGTTGCCAAATCTTTTTAATCTTGTGGCTATATATTTTGAGTTATTAATATAGTAAATTTAAATAGTAATACATTAACAACAACAATTTTCTATCATTGTCAAAAATATTTCTGTTGTTGGTAAAAAAATCTTTTAGTGTTTCTCAAATTTGAGCAAAAGTTATCGCGGTAAAATTTCCCTTGATTTTTCCTTTTACGGTTTTCCCCCAAATCTTTCTCCCTCATATTTTCACACGACCTTTAGCTTTTAAAAAAAATTAAAAGTCGACCCTTAATTTTCCTATTAGATTCAGCTTTACGGTCGCCGGCGAAGCTTCGAGTTAGGTCTGAATTGCCGTCACCAAAATCAGAATTAGGGTTTCAAATTGCAAGCAATCCTCCAAAGTTTCAATTGTTTGTATATAGTTGTAGTTCTTATTAGGTACATTCAAAGTCGCAGTTATGCTGCGGTCATGCAACCTGCAACATTAGTCTTTGCATTCATATTTGTACAAAGGTAAGTAAGAAATCAACCATCTTGTATATGATTATGTATTTGTTTCTTGTTCAAGATATATTCGTGTATATTCATGTACTCAATTGGTGAGAAGAAAGGTAGCAAAGCAGATCAAGAAATTCTGAAATTGCTTGTATCTAATTGAATTAGTAACACCTAGAATGAGAACCATGATTTCCATCAATATGATACTGTCTCTATCAAGTCTGTAGCAGTGAGTTTAAAACTTCTATAGTTTATAATTATTTTGGGGAATCCAAAAATTGTTATTAAGAATTAGGTATTAGAAAATAACAAGACAATAATATGTGCATTGGATGAGACTGCTCTGCATTTAGAGTAATATATCATTTTAGGTGTTTGGATGGAGTTCAACTAAGTAATATAAGCAAACCGGTTCACTAATCTCTAAAGATGATGAATATCCACATAACCTATAGTTATCGGGAAACTTTACTGAAAAATATGAACATAATTATCAAAAGGGATGCTAAACTCTTTACTTGTTGATTACTGCTTTAAAAGAAAGTTCCAGTTAGAGGTCTCCGCTTTGAGCAACTGGAAAAAACATTCTGAAATACTGAGTATTTGGAATGACTCATGTGAAGTAAAAGAAAGATATTGTTCTTACTTCTTATACTAGTATTTGGGGTACGTAAAATGAAGCCAATAATTAATTGTATGTATTCAGTGGTATTCGAAAATATTGTACTTTAAATTTGCAGCAAAAAGATCGAACACAAGAAGGAGAATTGTAAGCGGCCAATGGTAAATTGAAGGAACAAGATCATTGTTGCTAGTCGGCCAATTGATAACAAAGGGACATGGAAAGCGGAAGAAGATGAACTGTTGAAAGCATGTGAAAAAGTATGGGCCAAGTGACTGGAGCTCCATTCGATCCAATGGCCTTTTACATCGTATTGGCAAGTTGTCTTAAAGATTTTACTTTTGAAACATTTAACAAGATCCCTACTATAATATGCGTATCCGTATTTATCCATATTATCCATTGGGTAACTCGGTTTTACCCATTTAATATATGAGTCGAGACAAGCATTTTTATCCATTTTTTAAAAATTATTTTCGATCGGCTCATTATTCGACTCGATCCACTCGTTTGCCACTCCTACTCGTTATTGAGATCTGTTGACTTTGTATAAGTTCACACTTTTAAAATATTTGTGGATTTTTCCTCTGCAGTTAAAAGACAAATTACACTTCCTCGCCCTTGAGATTGGTGGTGTTGGCATAGTTTCAGCCCATGTCTCTTATTCTCCTAAAATTGCAGCAAGGTAAACTAATTGTCTTTGTAAAAGTTCTAGTTCTTTTCAATCTCTTCACGATTAATGTATGGTCTAATCAAGTGATGTTGCAGTTTAACGTAACTCCTTATCCAGTAAGCTAGCTTTACTTTGATTAGTATATTAGTCAATTGTGATTTCTAGTGTTAATAATATTTGTGAATGAAGTAACTCTTCACTTGCTTCTTTTTTCTTCAAAAGGTGATGTTGTTACTTAACAAATGCTCATACTCATACAATGAAATGACCGAATCTTCTAGGATACTTAGTTTATGTTGAAAAGATATTGTGTGTTTCTATGACCAATTATGATGTAGGGTCACTTGGTTCTTTTATGTACATGCCTATGTTTGGTGTTAATAAAATGTTATGTTTTTCATCTGCCCAGTTACAATACTGGGTTACTTGGTTCATTGATGTACATGCATATGTTGGGGAATAACGTGAATTCAATAAGGATAAATGGACCCAAAGCACTTATCTAGTATGCTTTTCGTGATGCAATCTTTAGCTGATGGCTTTTTTTGTGCATGTTTATCTCCAATATTTGGATGGCCTTTTGTTGTCCAGTATAGAGAAGTATGGTAGAGATGAGGGTTTTTTTGAGTTAATACAACTAGAAGTAAGACAAATTGTGTACACTGCAATGTTATCCCACATAGAAAAGTGAAGTTGAAGACCATGAAAAAGGGACTGAAGTTTTCATGAGCTGAGGAGAGGAATGTGATTGAACTTCAGGCACAATATGGGACCTTCGATTCTTTAATACATGACATATCTTCCTTAATACTATTTGGATAGAATAAACTTGTGCTACCTTGCAATGTGGTTCTTTCTTACAACTTATTGAAGGTAAGATGAACCATATTTACTTTATTAATTTTTTGGATGTCATATAATAGTCATTAGTTATATTTTAAGTTTCTAAGTTGCATTATGTTAACATGATTAAATTCTTGATACAGTTCTCAACATGAAATACTAATTCAAGGGTTCAAAGTTGAGGGAATTCCTACTGAAAAAATCATTAAGACGATGATGATTTAAATTTTATATCTTAAGTTTCACTGCTGCTTAATTTACCTGTGTCACTTTTATTTGTTTTATGATTTTATATCGTAGTTCCTTTTGGAGATTGGATTCAGATTGCTTCCTCATACATGTAAATTTTGGTTAAGTGTTAAATTTATATTTTATTGTCTTTGTTGTTGGACTTTTATTGTGTACTGCCTCTAAAAATGGCGGTCTTAATTGAGTGTTAATGATGGATTCTTTTTGGGTGGATAAGTCATGAAGTAGTTGGGTGATTTCTTATTTTACTTGTTGCGACACCTAATAGTTTAGGGATGTGCATATTTAATGGGGCTAACTCTCCGAGTTATACTTATAAAATTCTCTAGGTTTGTGTTAAAAGCTTTGAGAATAGTGGTTCCAAGCATGGTGAAGTATTTCCTAGAGTGTATTAATTATGTGATTCTTTTTACTTTTTAAATTCATATTTGTGAATTTTATAATTTACTTGATAAAAATATAATTAAGTTTATCTTTTATTTTCAGGATGAACATGTATAGTTCAACTCTGCTGCAACACAAGTATTATTGGAAGAGGATTTTCTTAAATTACTAGAAGAATTAGAATATAATGACCTTGCTTATATTTTTTTTTACAAGTAAAGGCATATGTAGTAAGTATCTAGTGCATCAATCTTATTTATTGATCTTTGCATATTTATATGGCTTTAAATCCAAATATTTATGTATTTTTCGAAAAGAATTATGTATTGTCTATGTAGCAATTATTATAAATTGTTGCTAAAGATGTATGATAAAATATTTGATTTATTGTAATAAAAAATGTTGTTGCTAAAAGCTTTTGTAATGCATTGCTAACTAAGTTTTGCCAAGTTTTGCAACAACTAATATTGTTGGTAAAAATAATAATTTATGGCAACATTAGATTTTGTTGTGATTTTTTTATATGCCACAACTATACAAATTTAAGGCAACAATTTTTTTTGTTGTGTTAAGTTAGTTTTTGGCAACAATATATTCTGTTATTGCAAAAACGTTTCGCATCAGCGTTTATTGCAACAACATGCAACAACTTTTTTATTGTTGCCAAAAGTACTTTTAGCAACAATATCTAATATATGGCAACCAAAAAAATTGTTGGGAAATGGCTTCTTTCTTGTAGTCGATATACTTGTCAAATTACAACTCAAAAGGAAAACAAACAATTGATAAAGATAATTCACAAGCCAAATTATATTGGATGTAATTAAAAGGAAGTTCAAGAAGGTAAGAATTTATGAAAATTTAAATAAAGAACTCAACATACAAATTGTTATGCGTCCTCATCCTCATTCTCTTCTTCTGACCATTCTTCCTCTTCTGACGATTCTTCGTCATCTGACCATTCTTCCTCTTCAATTCATTCATTTACCCCTTCATCTGTTAGTCTTCTATATCAACCTTTTCTAATGTGTGTTCAGGATACTCTAAATCATTTTTTAACTCAGTATCCATTGTGTGGTGACCACTTGATATGTCGTCATTCATAACACTCAAATTATCCTAAAAAAAATTTCGAAGAGTTAACAGTCATAGTTAATAAAAATACCCAACTAAGAGTCGGGGTCAAATTTCACAAGGAATTTTTTATCTAATAGGTGGATTGAGGGCATTTTTGAACCATTTCAAATATGCTAAGTGCATTTTTGATCCAATAGGTGAAAGAAATGGCATGTTTGACCCAATAGGTGGAAGGAGGACATTTTTGAACGATTTCTAATACGTTAAGGGGATTTTTGAACCTTTTTTCTAAAAGCTATTATAATTTCTCTATCTATGCAGTGACCCTTTCGGAGGGATACTACCACTTAACGAGAAACCTAATTTAATACTTGCGACATTTAAAAGAGATTAACGAAGGGCATATTGATTTTAATCTAGTAGAGGGATTAGGTTCATAACGAATAATTTAGTTAAGGATATACATCTTGCCCAATTAAATATTTATTTGATGTTAAAATTGACATGGTGCGGAATTTAACTTATGACGGAAAAAACCTCCCAGAATAATTTAAGCAAATAACTGACAAACTTTTCATGCATATATTATTCTCACACTTAAGGATGAGATAACAAGAATATTACCAACTTCCGAGTATCGAAATCAGCCGGTTCATGCTTCACACAAACATTCAAAACTAATAGTAAATTTTGTATATTACAAGACTTGGGTTTACACACCCCAAAAGAACAAAACATATAGACATACTTATATTACAACCCATGGTGACATGATCAAATTAGTCCTCAAAATTTCATGTAAATATACAACACATAGATCATGTACAAGTCACAAGGTTTATACAAAATATAGATGCCTATATGCAAATGTGATCTTCCTTAAGACTCTCAAAATCTCCATCTCCCATGGCCAGCTTCATGCATCCTCTCAAACATTCCCTACGATAGAAACAACTATAGCTAAACATATAGCTTAGTGGTGCCAAAACTATAGGTTCGGAGCCCTCAGATTCACCAAGCTACATTTCTCAAGTCATGGGCAACAAAATTGAACATAATAAATAAATCAAGTAAACAATATGTAAAGAGTATCAAGTTCAATATTTAAAGATCCAAATGTCAAGAACGCTCGTAGCACCATTTTCCAAGAGATTCAACAATAAGGCTCGCCCAATATATACATCATGTTGTCACACCAAGCACAAACAAATATCAAGAAGGGCCGACGCCGTGTATCAAGAAGGGTCAAAGCTCAATAATCAAGAGAACCAAGAACCATATTAAAAATGACTTTCTAGTTCGTACTTAAAATGGACAACTTCCATTCTTAAGACGGACTAAAAATCCAGAGTCAAGATGGCAAATGATCTGAATCAAGAGGCATGCCAATAGTGACAAAGTCACTGCCACAAGAAGGACAAGGTCCCAACAAGAGTACCAAGTGATCAAACAATCCGTACAAGTGGGCGAGTTACAAAAGCGTCTTTAATGTCTTAAATGATACCAACACGACAATGCAAAGTGACAAGGGGTAACCAAGGTACTAAGATAAACTTTCTGATATACCAGCAGTTAAAAGAGTGCAAGTACAAGTTTATACACAAACCTCAGTGCTTTAGCAAAGAAACAGTCCAACACAACTTCGCGAGTTCAGACCGTAGACCAACCAACGTTTCAAGGTCCTCAACTTGTTCATGGGTATATACAACCTTAAAAATACAATTAAATAACTTCTTTAATTCCTAGCAGCTCAATAATGTTTATGTAAAACAGGATTATCATCACAAGTAAGCTTAGCCTGTACAAATACGACTATGCTCCCAAAACAGAAATTCTGCCCAGCCTAGTACCTCATGTCGCAACTTATATTTGAAAAGGAAAACGGAAACAATGGAGTGTATACTCTTCATGAAATATGTAGGTACATCTCTTAAGGTTGCAAAAAATCAAGAATCACCGCAAAATATATTTTGTACAAAGAGATATCATCAGAACACTAACAGTTGATCATACAGGATTTCTAATTCCGAAATCTGGACAAAACTTGTCATATGTGGTGTCCCATATTTCGAATCCATAACAGCTAAATTAGAGTTTTACATAAACATAAGAGTTGTAGTTCTACGAAATAGCTTTCCAAATCATATTTATTCACTGTAAACTAAGTTCTAGAGAATGAGATATGCATAAAATACCAAACACTACCCAGCTCAGAAACATATTTTGTCACTTACCAAAAAGAAGTGCGTGTCTCGAATTCCAGCCAAAAGGGCCAAGTTTTTCTCTTGTGATTTTGAAGAACAACTTGTTAGATAATGTTCTAAGGTTCTTATACTTTAGGTGAGGCGAATTTTACTAGAAGAGATGTCAAAATATAGACTCAAAAGTGAGGCTAGTCACATGTGCAGCTGTCACTAAAAAGGGCTGCCCAAAATAAAAAGTAGACTGCCCAAAAAGCATACATATATACTTATATGTATATACCTAATACCAACACTTTCAATTTATATGTAATTCTAATTAGAAAATTACGTAAATACCTCCATACAATACCTTAAATTACGATCACAATTATGCTAAGCAAGGTTGCAAATATCACAAAATTTCAAGTTCCCAAAATCGAATAAAACATATTCTAGTAATTAAGCAATGGTATATCGACATGCGAATGTTGGTCTAGTATTTAGGGGTGTTACAATCTAGTCCACACTTCATATTCTTTTTTAAACCCATTTTGATAGAGATGAAGTTCAGCAATACCTGGGTTTTAATAATTAATACATTGACATTAGTTACAAGGACACTTTACCAAGCCATTATGTTGTAATGGTTTTAGTGTCTTTGCATACTCCACGAAACCAATGGCACCTTCTACAAATTCAGGCCCCAACCCCACCGACCAAAAATATTAGTCATATTATACATCCAACTACGATCTTTGTTAAACATTTATAAATTAAGTAATAATTTACAATCCTAGAAATCAAATTGTAAGAGTCTAGTTAAGAATATACAATCCTAGGTCATCATTCTTTGCATCACTGGTGAGTCATAACCTCTATATTTGAGTGTTACACAAATTAGTTATTCACTTATATCATAATCAAAGGAGAAAAGTTACATTTTGTTTCTTTTTGTTGAACATATTGGCTTATCTATCCAAACATTTATCTTTAAAAACTTATAAAAAAAGAGACATACATAAAATTGAGTTGCATTATACACAATATCCAACAACCAATTTAGATTTAAAGCTCATCCGACTAATTAATTTATCTCTAGTAAAATATGTGACAAAATATTGTAAACAACACTAAAGGGTGTCCAAGAAAATCATGTGACACCCTGAAGCTTTTAATTGGCCATTCAGAACTAAATGGACAAGCTAAAATTCAACCACTTTGATAAAGAAAGATAACAACAAACACTAAGCAACAGTAAAATAAATAAACAATCTAGATTCTATCCACATATAGGCAAACAATGCTTGCAATAAATCAATAGAGAGAGCTTGCAGCAAATGATGCTTGCAATAAATAAACAATCTAGTTACAATCTAGTTTAAAGACTTACCATTTAGAAAATTATACAGTTACCTAATTCTTCTCTTGGGATAAGCATGTGAAAAATATCCTATTGATTGAACGCAATGATTCTCAAAATTTCCACTGTTGTCAAATTAGTAAGATGGAGAAAATGGCAGTTTAGGACTCAATATTGTAATGTGTTGTAAGTTAAAATACATTATTTATTTTGATTGTTGCTTAGATTTTATTTTTTCATTGAGTTAAATCTGTTGAACTTAACACGATAGAAAGCTCAGTAATCAACATAGAAATAACAGGGAAATACAGGAAGAAATAGAAATTGAAAACAGTTTGCAGAGAAAAGTTGCTTAATATTTTATTTAATACGTTCAGTGGCCTAATATAGGCTTAAAGAATTTGTGGAATCATAATCCCACTAAACTACTTTCCCTAAACTCTACGAAAACAAATCTGCACTAACTACAACTAGGAAAATATCATGAACTAATTAAATAACAAAGTGACAACTAACAGCTAGAATATACCTACTGCAACACTTAGTGTAACGACCCGAGAGCACCCTCTAGCCGTTACATGCGTATTCGACCTCTCGGAGGTCTTATACAAGCCTTAGCATTCATTCATCGCATAGATCATAAAAATCACTAAGAATTTAAAACTTCTATTCAATAAAACCATAAGACTTCAAGAGTCATCAACATTTGAAAACA